TGCTCTCAGGCAGAAGCAGATTCATATATTTTACCTTTGAATTAGGGTAGCAGCTTGAGTAAGATTTATTTCTGCTTAATTTACAAACGCTCATTGGGCACCAACCGTGTACCGGGCACTCTTCCGAACACTGCGTAAGTGTGAGATGCTCATGACAGCCCTGTTGGTAGGTCCTGCTGGTTTCTTCACCAGATAGTTGCAGTGGCAGAGGTGTCCCTTGGTCACACACAAAAATGATGGCATTGTGTAACGTTGAATATACTGATTATCCTGATTTGAGCATCACATATTGCACACAGATACTGATATTCAACGCTGTACCCCACAGATGTATACAATCAATTATGCTTCAAGGAAATAAAATAAAAAGGAGTAAGTGGGATTCAAGGCCCTGAGCCAGCACCCAGGGACCATGCCTGGTCACCTCCGTGTAGCACAGACATTGAAGCCCAAGTGTCCTCCGGGAGGGTCAAGTTCAGACTTGCAGTCTCTCAGATAGGGTCTTAAGCTGGAGCAGATCCAAAGTCCACCCCGGAGTCCCCCCAAAGTCCACCTTTGAGCTGCTGAAATACCTGTCCCAAAACTTAACTCAGAGTCCTGGCTTTTATTTAATCCTTGGCCTTTGAAAACCATTGTCATCTGAGATTCAGTCTCCAGCTGGTTAAAATAAGCCACGAGGGGAGGGTGCAGAGCCTGCCATGGAAGGAGGGACTGGACAGGAATGAGGAATGGCAGCTGCCGGTTTGGAATCAAGGAAAGAGAAAAAAATGCACAAAAAGGGCCGGCCCGTGGCTCACTTCGGAGAGTGCGGTGCTGATAACACCAAGGCCACGGGTTCGGATCCCATGTAGGGATGGCTGGTTTGCTCACTGGCTGAGCGTGGTGCTGATAACACCAAGTCAAGGGTCAAGATCCCCTTACCAGTCATCTTTAAAAAAAAGAAAGAAAGAAAGAAAGAAAAAATGCACGAAAGAATCCACCACCTCCAGAAAACAAACATACTTGGCGAGCAGTAGGGAGCCCTAGATCCAGAAGCAAACCATCTGCCCCACCCCAGCCCCAGGGGCTGAGCACGAGAAAGTAAAGGACAGTCTGCTGACACCCTCATTCAAATGACAGCAAAGCACGTTCAGTTCACCCTGTTAAAGGAGACATTAGAGTTTTATAAGATTTTTATATGAATTTTCAAAGTAAAAACATTTGGGCGTTAAAGGCATTATAACTCCTTTAACATATATGAGGGTACTTCAAAAAGTTTGTGGAAAAATGGAATTAAAAGACAATACGGATCTTTCTATGAACTTTTTTTTTTTT